ATTTTACATAAAATATTATAAATAAATATATTAAATATTTTTCTATCTTGTTAATAAGCTATGAGAATAATCATCCTACATTACATAAGTTTTATAATATTAAACAAAAATATAAATATTTTATTTTTTTCAATTAAAAACAAAAAAATCATAATAAATTAATAAAATTTAATTAAAATAACATATATGTTACGAATTGTACGTATAATATTTAATTTTAATTAATCATCTTACCTGTTTTTTATATCAAATATAAAATGTTAATAATTATCATTATGTTTACTAATAATTATATGAAAATATTAAAAAAATAAAAATAAAATAAAAGAAAAAGAGAAATAAATAAAACTTGTACACCGGTGAAAAAATATTCGTTAACTGAAGGAAAGCCGAAAACCCACGTTTTCCTATTTTTTCACTTGATGACTACAAATTTATGTGACACGCGCTTTCAACGCATGACCGACTATATGAATTAAAAACTTTTTTTTTTTTTATTTACTTTTTATTTTTATTTTATTTTTTTTTCTTTCTTTGTCGATTGTTCGAAAAAAAAAAAACCTTAAAATATTATTATGAAATTAACGCTCAAATTTAAAAATTACTCGCAAAATCAATTTAAAAGAGTTTTTAAATAAAATAAAAAACTTTTATAATTTAATTTATTAAAAAAAAAAAAAAAAAAAAATTCGTTTACAACTTAAATATCGTAAATTTAATTTTTTTTTTTATAAATTTCCTACTGAAATATAATAAAAAATGTTATGTGTCTTTTAAATTGATTTTTTTTTTTGGTAATTTTTAAAGTTTTTAAATAAATTAAACATTTACATATTCATTTTTTTTTTTTATAGTAATAGACTAATACAATTAAAAAACGATTAATAAAAACGAAATTTTCCAAGATTTCAATAAAGAAAATTAATTAAATTAAATTTTCCACAAATTAAACATATTTGCAATTTTGTTTACAGTTCGAAACAAAAATTGAATGGCATCATAAATTGACAAAAACCTTTAAATTAAAAATAAAATGAAATATTTTTCAAATATAATGATTAAAAGTTTTAAAAAAAAAAAAAAAAAATTTAAATTAAAGTTAGTGTTCGAAAGAAAATTACGGTCATTTAAATATTGATATATATATATCCGAGGTCAGTTATTACCTTCAATGATTTTATTTAATTTTTTTAAATATATTTTTTATTTTTATGTAATATACTTAATTGAGCGTAAAAAACTATTTTTTTCTAATACTAATAATTTTATTTCAATTTTAAATAGAAAAATTATTACTGGCATGGAAACAAAAAATAAAAACAAGAGTCCGTGACAGATTTCGTAAAAAATTTGTTTTTCCATTATTGGCAACACTGCTATCGAATCACACGCGTGTTTTATTTTTATTTTAAATGTGGAAATCAAATTTTAATATTGACAAATAATAATGCGTATTGAAACTTGTTATTTTTGTTCGTCCAGAATTTATCCTGGACATGGAATTCAATTTGTAAGAAACGATTCTAAGGTACGTACGTAATGAAATATTGATTCGATTGATTTTAACATGATGAAAAAAAAAAAAAAAAAAAAAAAAAAAACAATTACGTTTTATGTCATATCTCTCTCGGAAGTAACATGGATTTTATTTAAAATCAATTTTTATTATTTTAGATATTTAAATTTTGTCGAAGTAAATGTCATAATGCTTTTAAACGAAAGAAAAACCCAAGAAAAACAAGATGGACGAAAGCATACAGAAAAACATGTGGAAAAGAATTGACTGTAGATTCATCTTTTGAATTTGAAAAAAAGAGAAACATACCTATTAAATATGACAGGGAACTGTGGTCGAAAACTGGTAAAAAAAAAAAAAAATAATAATAATAATAATAATAATAATAAATAACCCCTTTTAAATTTTTTTTTTTAAAAAGTTGCAAGTTTTGGTTAATGTTAATGAAATATTATTTTTACAGTTGAAATAATGAAAAAGGTTGAAGAAATTAAACAAAAAAGACAAAATAATCATATTATGAATAGGTTGAGAAAGGCTATTGAACTGGAAAAATCTAGGGATATTAAAGAAGTTAAAAATAATATTGTTATGATCAAATCCCCTGCAGCCACATTAAAGAATAAGGCAATAGAAAAGGCAGTTGTCGAAGAAATACATGAATCAGATGTTGAAATGCAAGATGATGAAGAAAGTCCAATGATGATTGATGTAAAAAGTTGAATTATTATTATGTTTTTAGTTTAGATTAACTATTAAAATTTTTTTAAGCACAAGAGTTTTGAATCATCAGTATGTTATAATCATGTAATAATATTAATAAATGCTGTGTTTCAAACATTATGACGTTTTGTTTTTTAATATAACCTGTAACTAATATTTAAATTTCATTTTAAGGTTTTCATAAAAAATTATTTTGTGATGCCATACTGTGTGATATCAATAATACATATTAACCTGTCAACTTTAAAATTATAGTAATTTGACTACTTTTTGTTATTACAAACAATTTTTAAAACATTCATTTATGTCAAAATACTGACAATGAACTTACTTAACCAAATAAAAATACTATAAAAAAATAAAGTCTTATTTCCCTGTGACCACTATAATCACATTTTCTTTTTTAATTAAATGTAATTTAGTTGTAAGTTTTCAAAATTAAGATACAAATATTGTTTAAACAATATTGAAAGCCCTGAGCTTTAATTTCAATTACAATCAAATTTATTTTTTTCTGATAAAAAGTTTCAGTGTAATTTTACTATTTTTAATAATTTAATTTAAAAAATCTGAAAAAGAACATTTTTTTTTAGTAAAAAATTTACAAAGGTTTTACAAAAAAATTATTAAAAAAAAAAACCAAAATTATTTTAAAATTTTTATTTGTTAAAAACAAAATTTTTTACTTTTTTCTTCTTTTTATAGAGTATCGACCGTGTAATTAAAACACGGGTAAAATCTCTTAATATTTTATTTTTACTTGTAAAAAGTTAAGGCTTGAATAAACAAAATATAACTTTTCCTTTTTTTTTTTTTTTCTTAAATTTTTTAAATTGTCAGTAAAATATTATTATTTATATAAATAAAAAAAAATTTATAAAAACAATTTCACAATGTGTACCCCATTTTATGCACATAAAATAACTTTTTGACAATGATGAAGAAAATCTATTGAAGATAAAAATATTAGTTCTATCAATTTAAATAATGCTGTTGAATTTCAGGTGACGTCACAAATATTACACTAAATTTCTACTAATTTCAATTTGAAAAATTATTTTTGTTAAAAAAAAAAAAATTAAAATAATCTTTGTTATATTACTTTGTTGTTGTTGTTGATGTTATTGTTTGGTGTATTAAAATATATTTTAAAAAATATAATATAATAATCTTTAATAATTGAAATTATAAAATACAACTTTGAATAACTTACGTACTTAAAATATTGTCGTCGTCTCTCTCTCTCTCTCTCTCTTTCTCTCACTATTAATTAATTTAATTTATTTTTTTTTTTTGTTGTTGTTTCACCTGAAAATAAGTCTAAAAATTTAATTAAATATCTCCCGTATAAAAAAAAAAAATATTTTTTAATTTTTCCGAGTTCTTCTAAATATTATGTAATTAAATTATTTATATGAGTTGTATTCATACTTACGAAAAAAAAAAAACTAGTCCTTATTCTAAATAAGTATCTTCACACACTTTATGTTGACCTAAAATGCTGATAAGTGCATTCCTCATCCTTACAGGTACCCGTTAAATCAAATTGACAAATGATAACATTTGGATTAACTCTTTCTGAATTATCACTTCTACAAATAAAAAAAAAAAAAAAACAACAAAGAGAAAAACAAACGTTTGCATTTCTATTTAATATTAATATATATATATAAAAAGTAAATAAATAAATAAAAAATGAAAAATAAATACCCTTTGGAAAAAACTTCAAGAGGTGAATTATATCGAATTGATTCTGAAGAGGATGATGGTGGAAATTTGAGATTTGATTCGTTGGACTCATCCACAATCTTATTTATAATTAAATCTTCTTTGCAATTTTCTTTTTCAGCTTTATATATACATATATATATATACAAGCACACACATATATATATATACATACATACATATGTTGAAAAAATTATATAATTAATTAAACAATATTTAATAAGTTGAAAAAAAAAAAAACATTAATCAAAAATAAAATAAATAAAATAAAATGAAAGAAAATAAGATAATAATGGAATGAAATTAATTAATCTACTTTTAGTATTTTAAAAAATGAATAAGAAAAAAAAATTTTTTCAAAATTTAATATTTAGGCCGAGAAAAAAAAAAAAAAAATTTAAATTTGTGTTACCAATTATTAATTGACATGGTTACACCCAGTATGTGTGAATTTTTTAAATGCAAAGAAATTTTTCGTTATTATTATTATTATTATTATTATGTTTAAAATTTTTATCTTTGGGACGTTATTAAAATTTTTTTTTTTTACACGGATAGGAATTATCCTTAGTATTTATAATAAAATTCTGAGAATCAAAACTTAACTGATTTCTGTTGAAGTTTTCAACTCTGTTTCTTTTTCCTCAGAATCTGGCACTTTTTCCATGTTTGAATTTTCTTCACTCGTTGGTGTTTTCCTAATATTTTCCGAGCAATTAGCATTTTGATTTAATGAGGGCTCTAATTTTTTTTCATTTTTATCCGCACTGCGTTCTTTATTCTGTTCAACGGGTTTTAATTTATATTTTTCATCTTCGTTTTTTATTTTGTTCAAAGAATGAGAAACGGAAGGCATCGTGTTTTGTAATGATTTATAAATTTTAACGCTTTCCTCCATTAGGTGTTTAATTTTACGAAATTGATCTTTTCTCTTTTTCTCTATCAAACCTAACTGAGCTTTCAATTTAGTAATTTGTTTTTTATAATTTTCTTCAATTGTTTTTTCAATTTTTATTTTTCTCAAAAAAAATTTCAATTTATTTATTGCTTGAGCCTGTTTATTTTGCAACAAATTAATTTGACTCGATATTTCTTTAGATTCATTTTGAGTTGATATATTTTTACTCGGTGATGTTTTTGAACTATTATTTGATTGATCCACAGAATGTTTGGACTTTATTAATCCGATTGTACTAATAGGTTTTTTTATACTTTTATCTGATAAGCTAGGAAAACCGACTATATGGTCAATGTTATTATTTGAAGTAGGTAATTCATTTACACGAGTATCACCCGCCGATAACGGTGGCTCACAATTTGATGATGGTTTAGATGTTTTTCGACTAACAACATTACATTTCAATTTATTATTTAAATTACTTTGTACTGGATTAGGTAGATTTCTTTTGTTTATATGTACAGGTAAATTTGATGAAATTTCATTTTTTGAATTCTTTAGTTTTTCACTATCAGCAATTTTTTTTTTCAATATTAAATATTCCAACCTCTGCGAAGGAGGTAAATGCTTGTAAACAGCCTGAAAGAAAAAAGAAAAAATTTTCATAGGAATTGAAAAATTGAATTTTTAATAAAATTCTTTTTACAAAATCAATTATACCTCACTCCTTAGTTTTGAATTTAATATCTCCTCTTGAATTTTTTGCTTGGCTTCATTTAATAGTCGAACTACTTTTCTTTCAATATCAGCTTTAATTGAGTCATCCATTTCATTAGCCTCTGGCAAGGTATTTCCATCTGTTTTTTTTTCGTTTGATGTTTTATCTGTAATTTTAAAAACTTGTGAGTCATAACATAACTTAGGAAAATGCATTCATAACTTGAGAAAGAGTTTAAACTTAGTAAATACATATTTAAACATGTTTCCTCCTTCTCATTTATGTCTGCTATCACTTTTTTAATATAACTAAACTTAATTTATAAAAAAAAAAAAAAACTTGATATATGTAGAAAATTATTATTTTTACTGTTTTATTTTAATATGTGAAAATATTCTTCTCATGTTTTCCATTTAAATTTAGAAATTTAGAAAAATTAAAATATTAGAGAACGAATAAATAAAAAATGATGTCTGAGTACTAATAGAATAAAACTTAACCTTTTTCAAAAATTAAATTATCTTCTTTTGTATGAATGTTGACATCATCATCACTGGAATCATCTGAACCAAGATGTACAATTATCCTTTGCATTTCAGAATTTGATATTGTTGAGTTTTTGGCACTTTTGGTAGAATGTAAATCATTTGAGGTTTTTTGATTATCCAAAGTCTCTGTAAGAGTGTCAAAATTTTCTATAAAATTCAAACATAAACTTTTTTTCTTTTAAATGTGTAAATTTTATCACTTTATAATAAATTTATAATAAATTTTTTAAATAAAGTATTGATATCCTTTTATAATTGTCGAAATATCTAAAAATAAAATATAAAAAATTTACCATACTTACTATTTTGATTTTTATCATCACTTTTTTTAGAAAAAGATGATTCTATGGCAAGTTGATTTTGTTGAACATCGGTTGACCTTAAAAGTTTTTCATTATTGAGATCATTTGGATGAATTGAATTTAAACATTTTTCCTCTGAAACTTCCATCATTTCAATATTGATTTTTTCCTTTTCATTGCAATTTTCAGAATTAATTTCGTTTGTTTCATATGTAACACACTCTCCATTATTTGGGTTTTCTTCACTATTTATTTTAGATTTTTTCAAATTTTTAAGCCTTTTTTGATGTTTTTTCAACAAAGCTGTTTTTAAAGCTTCAGCTCTAAGTAATAATTCATTTCTATCCAAATCATTATCTTCTGTGTTTTGCGAATTACAGTTGAGGTCTTCCAATTCAATTTTTGAGGTATCACATTCTTCAATGTTCTCTTCAACTTTTGGTAAATTGTACTCAAATTGTTTTTTTTTATTCTTATAGGATGCAAGAGCCATTAGCCTAAGCTGCATTAAATCTGCCTCTGCATCTTCATCTCCATCTATGGATGCCTGAAAATTTACAGGTTTTACAAAAATTTTTTCAGGTGGATTGGGACAAGATAAAATTAAGTTTTGTACCGAGCTTTCCAAATTTAAAATGAAGTTTTCCTCATGTGATTCGGATGGTTTTATATTGGCACTCATTAAATCCTCAATGCCTGTAGATGACATTTTCATTTGGCTTTCTTTTTCTTTTAATTTTTTTAACAGGGTTTTTCGAACTTCATCAAAGTCTCTAATATCTCTCTTGGAAGTGGTTATTAGTGAATTTTTCTTCTTTTTTTTTTTCCTACTCCCATAGCTATCATCTCTATATTCAAATTCACCTTTTATTTTATTTCTTTTCGAGTTTCTGTATTCCTTCCTAAGAGATATGTTTTTAAGATTTGTTTCAGAAGAATAAGGATAATTTGAGTAAACTTTGTACTGTTTGCTTTTTTTCTCAAATGAATTATTTTTATTCATCGAAAGTAATGATGAATAATTACAGCAACACTCTCTAACTTCATGTAAATTGCATTTATAACACATTTCTTTAGATGTTTTTTTGTTTTTATTGAAACTAATTTTTTTACATGTCACTCTGTCAAGTTCAGTAATTAAATCTTTAGCTATATCATCTGGACACCACTCATACAAATATTTTTTATCTATATTTTCATTTGAGTTTTTTAAATACTTGAGACAATAATTATTTTTATGTTTTTCTGATTCATGATATTCATCAGATGATTCTTGGTCCGATTCTACAAATTTTCTTTTTTTACATTTCTTAACAGAATGTAAATCATAGGGACTAAGTTTAAATTTTTTTTTCAGTTTTCGACCAACATATCCTGCGGTAAATAATGAACACAATTAATAACATTAAAATGATTTTTAGTTAATAATTTGCTGCATAAGCAGTAATAATTATTAACAAAATATTTTTGTAACATGTGACCTATTTATAATGCATTTTATATATATATATATATATATATATATATATATATATATAATTAATGTACATAGTATTATTTATAAATATATATATTTATATCAATAATGAAAATATTTACCCCTTAACTTGAAAATTGGGACATTCATTAAATTATCATCATTAAAATATTGTTCATCAGATATGTATTTTTTCGGACTGTTTTCTCTTGATTTAATCAAATATCCACATTTTTCCGAATCATTCGAAGAATCAACATCATTTTCTAAAATTTCACCTTCTTCTAAATCAGATACTACTTCATTTTCCATTTCTTACTGTTTCACAACATCTGTTAAAAACATTGAACAACCGAAAAAAAAAAAAAAAATTATTTTCCAGATTATCAATGCCTATTAATTATTTTTAAAATAATAAATTTATATAAATACTAAGCAAAAATCAGGTTAACGTTATAAATAAGGTTTGATTAAAGAAAAATTGACGATTTTAAATAAGTAATGTTTTTTTTTACTGATTTCTGAAAAATTTGAATATAATTTTTATCCGTTTTAAAAAAATTTATCTTTTAATTTCACACTGTTAAAATTTGCCTATTCGTCAATATTTTAATAATTAAATAATTTTTTTTTTTTTTATAATGACTTGATTTAAAGTTTTAATTTTAATTTTATATTACTTTTCACTAAAAATAATTAGTAATACGTACATATTTTTATTCTTTTAAAATGAACGTCCAAGTTCTACGTACCAAACTTACGCAACAATTGTAGTCAGTGCCTTGCAATACTGACAGTTTTATGTGATTGGCTATAATTTCCCTCCAAACGAATGAAAATGGTTTTTAGTGTTTTTTTTTGAAAACTGAAACATTAAATATTATTATGTTAAACATTTAACGATGTCTCTTTTAGGTATTTTAAAATTAAAAATGAAAAATGCACTTACAATTATAAATTATTGAATAAGTATTTTTTTTTTTTAACAGAAAAATTTATTAAATATCTTCTGAGGAATCACGAAAATGAACTGCGGGATATACTCAAAAGTGGAGACGAAAATCAAAGTTTTTCAATCACTGTTAGGTAAGTTTTCCTGATGCAAAGATGTAATTATTTATTTGATGTTGTTCGTCATTGGACCTTTTGCAAATATTATTAAGATTTAGATGTAGCAATGTCTTAGTTTTTTAGCCCTCTTCGATGAAGATAACGCTTTAGGAAATGAGCTGTTACTTGAACCTGAAAAGAATTTATCTGCATTTAATAAAGCAGCAATTTCTGCTCAAAAAAATTTATTATTAGAATTAGAACGTGAAGATGATTGTGAAAACTACAAAATTAAATTAAAAATTTCAATTAGATTGGATGAATTACCTGATTTTGGAGATTCAGTGTTTCCATCGAACAATGACATAGGGTATTTTGTAAGAATTAGTGGCACTGTTATTAAAGCTGGAATTCCAAAATTTCTAGAATACGAAAGAGACTACTTTTGTGAAAAATGCAATTTTTCAGTTACAAGTTATGCTATATATGAAAAATATTATTTAATAAATGCTCCTTCTAAATGCAGCCAATGTTATAGCACTCAGTTTAAAATTAAAGAAAATAAAGAAATGAAATTTATCGATTACCAAGAAATAAAAGTACAAGAACACTTTGGAAAATCAAAAGTAGGAACTATGCCTAAAACCATGTTGGTTACCTTAGAAGGTGATTTAGTAGACTCATGTAAACCAGGTGATGATGTGATCATCATGTAAGAAATACTGAATTATGAAAATTCACAAAGTTATTTTTTTTTTAATTGCCTAAATTTTACAAGTCACAAAATCTGAATTCTATGTTGTTCTATTTTCAGAGGTATACTTTTCAGAAGATGGAAGATGTTGAAGCCAACTTTTAAATATGATATTAATTTGGTCTTAAAAGCAAACAATTTAATAATTCATTGTGAGAAAAAAGTTTTACTGTCTAACATGGAAATAAAAAAAAATTTTTCTAATTTTTGGAAAAATTATGGTGATAAAGAATTAATAGGAAGAAATCATATTTTGAAATCATTTTGTCCTCAGGTAAATACAATTTAACTTCAACTTTTATGAAAATAAAAAGAAAATATTTTAATTTTGCAAAATTTTTTTTAGATTTTTGGAATGTATCTTGCAAAATTGGCTATGGTCATAGTTTTAGCTGGAGGAGTACAAAAAACGGATGAAAATGGATGCTCCACAAGAGGGACATCTCATTTATTGCTTGTAGGTGATTCTGGAACAGGAAAATCTCATTTGCTAAGATATGCATCTAGAATTGCTAATCATTCTGTTTTTACTACAGGAGTAGGCTCAACAACAGCAGGATTGACTGTTGCTGCTGTTAGGGTAACATTATCATTTACTTATAATATATTTTAAATTATCTAACTTTGTTAATATTATACATTTATTAAGTTCATTTATAATTTTTTTCATATTAATTGATGTGTGCAATTAATTAACAAAAGAGTAAATTTTGTATGATAAATGCTGTTTTAATAATTTTTTTATTTTACACCTTTAAATTTTGTAAATATCTATTTGTTAAAATTAATAATGTATTGAATTTTTTTTTTTTTAAGGAAAGTAGCAACTGGACTTTAGAAGCAGGTGCATTAGTTTTATCTGATGGAGGAATTTGCTGCATAGATGATTTTAATTCAATAAGAGAACAGGATCGAGCAAGTATTCATGAAGCCATGGAACAGCAATCGATTAGTGTGGCTAAAGCAGGAATGGTTACAAAGTTACAATCACGATGTTCCATTTTAGCAACTACGGCAACCAAAGAAAAATACGACACTTCAGTGCCCATGAGTGTAAACGTATCTATTTCCTCTCCCTTACTTAGTAGATTTGATATTGTCCTCGTTCTTCTGGATTCTAAATGTCAAAATTGGGATAAGTGAGTTTGAATCGAATTTTAAAAGAATAATAAATTCAATATATACCCTTAACTTTTATCGATGAGAAAAGAAAAAATGAGTATATATATATATATATATATATATATATATATATATATATATATATATATATATATATATATATACTTTTTTTCTACTAAGTTTTAATGAAAGTTAATAAAACGCGATTTTAAATAAAAAAAGACTAGATTTTGAAAAAAAAATTATTAGAATAATTTTTAACGGTTTGTTATGTTAACCACGCTTTCTCTTAGTTACTCATAAAAATTTTCTAACCAAATTTAAGTTTATTGCTTTCTCAAAGAAAAATTTTGGAAAAACCTTATTGGTTATATTAAGTATTTAAAATGCAAACGAAGAATTATGTATCTTTTTTAAATTTTTGCAAATTATTTAAACTTTTTTTTTTTTTTTATTAGATCTCTTTGCAACTTTATTTTCAATAAAAAAGAATTTTTTAAAGAGACTGAAGAATCGGTTGTTAGTAAGATGGACAATAGTTTATCCACCAATCTGTGGTCAACAACTGATTTACAAAGTTATTTTTCTGTCATAAAAGAAATAAATCCTGTCATGTCCGAAGAAGCTGGAATTTTACTTCGTACTTATTATCATTATCAAAGAATGGCCGACTCACGTAATGCTGCGAGAACAACTGTCAGGCTTTTGGAAAGTCTTATCAGGTTCTAATTAATATTTCCGAACAAAAAAAAAACCACATGTTTTACGCGCACAAGGTTATCATTACTAAAATGTATTTGTTTTAAAAAAAAATTCTTTTCAGATTATCCCAAGGTCATGCCAGATTAATGTTCAGAGAAAAAGTAACAGTTTTAGATGCTCTTACAGCAATAATGTTAGTAGAATCATCGACTCAATATTCTTCTGATGGAAACGCAGTAAACGCATTACACACAGTTTTATCAGAAAATCCCTATGAAGAATATGAGAGATTAGGTACAATTATTATACTGACATTACAATTATTAATTAATATTTATTTTGCACTCAATTCAATAATAATAAAATTATTTATATTTTCAGCAAAATCTATTCTCACTAATCTGAAATTAGATAATCTTTTGAAGGAAGAATTAGAAAACATTAAAAGTGATAAAATAATCAAGAGGAAGTTTGAAAGTGATGCGACAGACATTTTAACTGTAAAAAATGAAAAAATTGAAGTCAAATCAAAAAAAAATATTTGGGATATTAATGAAAAAGTCAATTGTGAAAGTACATATGAAAACCATGATGGCCGAACAAATTCTAATAATCAAGATTATAATGAATTAATGATATTTAAATTATTACCCGAAACCCTTAACGCCAATGAACGTGATGAGAAAATTAATAAGACTTTATCATCGCCTAATAAATTAAGTACAAATCATGTTGTTAATTCAGAATCAAACAAACGTATAAAATTATCAGAAGAAGAAAAAGAAGAAGATTTTCAAAAAATATTAAGTGAAGATTTTGGAATAAATGTAGAAAATATTGAAAATAAAAAAACGGAAATAATAACCGACGATAATGATATAAATACAAACAATGAGAAACAAAATTCATTGAAACTAAATAAAGAAAATTTTTCTGACGCCACTAGTACAAATAATAATGAAAAATCAAAAAAATTTAAAAATTTTTTTAGTCAAATTAATAATAATAATAATGATGATGATGATGACGATTGGGATAATATCGATTTATAATTTATGAAACATTTTACTAGTTAAAAACATACATAAATTTTTTTTTACTTTGTTGTTATTGTTAATTTTTTAAATATTCTTATAAAACTCTTTTTTTTTTTTTTTACTTATTTAAAAATAAAATGTTCAATTTTAACATAATATTTAAAAAAAAACGTTTAAATTTAATTATTTGGGATCACAAATAATTTATTATAAATAAATAATAAATATTTGAAAATCCCAATTTAAAATCCTATATAAAATTTAAAAAATTTTTCCCTTTTAATTTTGCAATATGAGAGCAATTAATTAAAACCTGATTTGAAGACGATAAATCATTTTAAAATAATAATTATATATTTGTCATGATGAAACGTGTCTTACATGAAAATTAACCACGTATTCAGCATTAGTTCTTTGAACGGAAATAGCAAAAGGTTCGGTGGGATGAAAAGTAAATGCTACTAATCTTCTTGCCGTCGGAGGAGGTTTCTTTCCCAATAATCCAATATAAATACAAAATTTTAATAATCCGGAATCTCGAGCGTAAAATCTGAAAAAAAAAAAGTTATATTAACTATTTGCGGGATTGTATGTTAGTAATCAATTAGATGTTAAAATAGCTTCTTGCATTAAATGTTATCATGTTAATTTTGTATAAGTTCTAATGCTTAACTTTTAATGATTTTAAAAGCTTAAAAAGCTTTTCAAGAATATTTAACAACTTTTAATAAAATTTAAAAAATGCATCCTATACAAATAAGACAATTTACAAGGTTTCAAATACTACTACTAATTATTATTATTATTCAAATAAATTTTAAATTAATATTTTAAAAGACTTTTTTTTTTTTTTTTGAATTACCTAATAGGATATTCTCCACATGTTTTAGGCCTTTCCATACTTGAAATCCATTTATCATAGTAGCTAAACAAAGAAAGGTCCAAATAAGGAGAGCTGCTGTAAGACTGTGCACTTATAGGTAATTGAGCCAATAATCTCTTGATGGCTTCTGTGGGCCCTCCATTACGTGCACTACTTATCATTAATTTAAATCGTTGCTGTAAAAGCCTAAAAAAAAAAAAAAATAAAAAATAATGAAACAAAAATCTGAGTAGAGAGTAAAAATTAAAATTAGACACAATTTCATTTGTTAAATATATTAGTATTTAGAAAAACATTTTAACTAATGAACCAACAGATAGTGATAAAATTTTTATTACCTGGCATGAGTATTATTACTCGGAGAACAAGAAAAATGATTGACAGAATACAATTGAGCATTCCTAAAATAATCACAGTAATTTTCGAATATATATAAAAATTCATCTGATGTGTTTTCATATACTGCTAATACTTTGCTTTCCTTCATGTTGTAAATCATAAAAAAAGATGTTTGAGAGTGAGTGGGTTCTGTTGCTTTTAATGTAACAACATCTTCTGCAGCATATTTGATAAGTAAGTGTTCATCATCCAATAATTGCATTTTCCACATTCTTAATGCATTTAACTGAAAAATTAATAAAAACCTATGTAAATTTAAAATTTCCTCAAAAAAAGATAAAATTTTACAAAAACTAAATTGAATAAAAATTCATACAAAATCAAAATGTTGATAAAATTTCCTTAATGCATATGGATGACAGGAGTTTTCTGATATTTTTTTCGCTCTTTTAAATAGAAAAACCAAAAATCTGTGTTTCAAACAATTAATGGTAACTTCTCTGAATGGCCTGTGAATATTTTGTGAGTTTCCCTAAAACACTTACAATATTTTTTTATTCTAAAAACGTCTTCATCGCAAAGAAAAAAAAAATATATATATAAAATTTTTATTTAAAGCACAAAAAAAAAATTTATTTACTATTTTAAAAGCCTTAAAAAAAAAAAAAAAAAAAAAGCAGAAAAATAAATATTATTACCATAGGTAAGCCACAGGACAAAACGAAATCATCATCTTCAAAACAATTTCTTCCAATTTTTCTAACGTTGTGAAATCGTCCATTAGCAATTTGAAATATGTGAATTGTCTGATGTTGAACTGATAAAATTGCCAAAGTTTCTTTATATAAATACAAGCCTTGATTATGTGACAAAAATATTTTATCAACTTTGAAATCTCTCCAGTCGCATAAATATCCATTTTCTAAATCAATTAAATAAACTGTATAATCCTCGAGAGGAAATTTGTTATTCGGAGTGACTGCTTCATTGTTAGTATAAATTTCATGAAAGTTTGGCCAATCTTCAGTTACATTACTAGCTGATCCAATAATTACATATCTGAAGAAAATTTAAATTTATCTATCTTCTCTATTTGTTCCATAATACCTTTATCTTCTTTTATACCTTCCGCAATTACTAAACAAACTGCACTCTCTATTTAACTGCTGAACGTTTTCTCCTAATCCCAATTCTGCCACGGTTATCATCCATTTTAACTTAAAAAATTTTTTAAATATCTGATTTCTTATAGTTTCACTGGACGTGTCCTGAGCGTTTAAATAGTCGCCAGAGCAATCTTTAATTAAATCTCCAGCTGCCGTACAACCTTGATACTTGTATATCTCAAGAGAAAATTGATCGGCTGAAAAGGCAATAAAATACTTCCCATCTGGACTAAATTTCCGCAAAAAACAAGGAGGTTTTTCAACGTCTACGATGGTAAAATTTGGAAATACATTTTGATAGAAACGGCGAACTTGATGAAAATGAATTCCTTTGTTAGAGCCGAAGGTTTCTCGTTTTAACAATCTAATAACAACATTCTGATCTGGGATACGTCTAGGTTTTAAACAATTATTTAAAGAATTTAAATCTACGTCAAGCTTAGAATCTTCTATTGGATTTACAGTAAACATGTCTTTTTTTATTAGAAAATATCACTTTAAAAAATCAACACAACTTAAACACAACTTATAATAAATAATTTGAATGACTTCATCTTGTGTATGTCCGACCTAGTCCGCCATCTTGAAAAAGTCTACAATGTTTCTTTCTAATGGCACGATAAAATAATAATGGCGCGCTTTGCAGTGTTACCAATCTAAAACTAATCAAGTTATGTTTTGAAGTGAGTAAACAAAAAAAAAACAATTTTTATTTCACACTTGTTCAATAAACTAAACTATAAGATAAGTATATTAATATTATGGCTACAGAGATATTAATACAAAATGGAAAAATTTTAAATCTTTACAAAAGTTGTAAAATCATTTCATAAATTTGTCTTTCTGTTGAGACAGAATTTTAGCAGAAGACTTGGCATCAAGGAATAGACTATTTATTTCATTCACATCTTCCTGAGATATGGTTGTTCTTCCATTAATTCTAGCAGTTAAAAAACTAGGAGTCATCAGTTGAACAGCATATCTTAATTAAAAAAAAAAAAACAAGTTTATATCATGTTTTAAAAAAAAAATAATAATAATAATAATTTAAACTTCTTACAAAGATAAAGTAAATTATAAATGACAAAATTTAAAATTAAAAAATTTTAATTATTTAACATTTTTAATAAATTAGCATTTAAAATTTTGAAAAAAAAATATTGTGAATTGTTACAGACATTGATTTATAAAATTTTAACTTTTGAAATTATTTTAATTTTAGAATAGGATTTTCAGCTCTTTAAATTTATAAAATTTCAGAATAACGTTTTATTAGCTTGCAGTCTAATGCACCTAATGAGCTTGTGTAATTATTTTAAATTAGAAAATAAAAAAATTTAAAAAAATTACAACAGCTTTACATGTAGCAATCAATAAGATATTGTGATACGAAAACATACTGTCAGTTGTTATAAAATCAACAAATGATTAGATAATTTTAATTTAAAAAAAAAAAAAAAAAAAAACTAAAATTGTCATAAGGTAGTTTAAAAAATTATTTTACTTACCTCAAAGTTGTTTTACTCCCGATTTCACTTAATGTGGTTAGAGCCTCAGGTGAAATTTGTAAACCTTCAGTTGCAGCTCTTAGATTTAAAATTTGCTCCATTTCTATTCGTGAATAAGGCATTGTTCTTATAATTAAAAGTCTATCTAACAGATCCAATGGAATTCCATGAGGTGCTTTCACATCCTCGGTTCCCCTAGAAATCCATCAAATATGATAAATTAATATTAATTATTAAAAAGACATATTAAATTGAAACCAAATGATACTAGAAATTTAATTATACAATATAAATTACCGAACTTCACAGGTTCCTCTGTTGGTAGCAAAAATTACAATGGGAGCAATAGCACTTTCCAATGCTCTATGCAAATAAGTAAAACATTCAATGTCAAGCATATGAACCTCATCAATAAATAAGACTCCTGGAACAAGTTCAGCTATCCCTTGATCAATATATTTGTTTACAACTTTGTTAACTTCTTTCCTTAATTTATCTGAAAATAATTTTTTTATTTTTTATCTTTAAATGAATATTAAATTATTTGACTACTATTAAAAATGTAATATAATGCCTATCAACTTTTTTCATTTTAAAATAAATACAATACTCAACAAGAATTTTTTTTTCTTAATTAAAATTAAGGATTAATTGGTAATTAGTGTGATTTGTTAAAATTTTTTTATTGCAATGAAACTAATATCTTACCAGAAATTTCTGTTTTTCTCGGTTTCATCAACTGACCCATCATTGACAAAATGTCTTGTCCTCCTTGTGGTCTAGCATTTGCTACATCTAAATCATGTAATGTTACATCTTGTATTACTTCTTTTTTCTTGTGGACATCCCCTTTAGGAAGAGGCACATATTCTTCTGCCTAATTATTAATTTTCAAATTAAAATTGAAATAAAATTGAAAATGATTGAAGTAATAATATAATTCAAATTACCTCCAAGTCGAATTCTGTGGCAAAAGTATCAGATCTTCCTTGACGTTTGACAGCCCCTGAATTTGCTTCTATATAGATCACATCTCCAGTTTCAACCTTTTCTTTTTGAAGTGATTCATAAATACTGGGATCCAATTTCAGCTGCTTGGTTCCTTTAGCAGTCTTAAGGCCAATTATAACTTGAGATACAGTTTTGCCATACCCTAAACAAAAAAAAAAAAAAAATTAATCCGACCTAATATTAAGAAGTAGTGAGACACATATTTATTTCTTAAAATTATAAAGTAAATAATTACAAATTAAAATCTATTATGTAATTTACATTTAAATCCGAAGACTATACAGTTAGTTGATGGCTAAAAGTTTTAATCAAATGACGACTGATTCGTTAATGTGTTAAAAAGAATTTTTAATGATATAAAGAACTTTTACTAAACTATTTTCATTGAAATTTACCTCCTAATGGGTTTTCAGTTTCAACAGGAGTCAATTCAGTTACTTCTCCTTCATACACTTCTTTAGTTTCTTTAATTCTAAGACCTATGGCTCTTCTAAAATTTTCCATTAAAACTTCAGTTTTTTTTATTTCTGAACTAAAAACTTCAGAACCAACCATAGGACAAAATGGAACTTTGGTGCCTAGCTCCTGAGCTATTGCCAATGCAATAGCCGTTTTACCTGTGCCTGGAGGCCCGGCTAATAAAACAGCCCTACCGGACATTTTTTTGGCTCTTATCATATCGACTACAATGCCGGCCGCCTATAATAAAAAAGAAAAATTAATTTACCATAATGCATAATAGAGACGACCACAAAAAAATACACCTTTCCAAAATGAAATCTCACCTCCCTAGCAGCCTCTTGACCTACCAACCCCGCAGCAACTTGTAATGGGGTACCAGTATCATCTAACCCCAAACCTTTAACATGAGTATGAGCAGAAATTCTTTGAGTCTTTACAGTACTTTTAACTTCCTCTATTTTCATGATTGAAATAAATAATTGATTTTAAAACTACTTTAAATAAAAGGCGAAGTTCAAAATCAAATCGAAACTGACAAACGACTGAGCTTACTAAGAGTAGCTCATAACTTTATTGCTTTAAAGTTTTAACAACGCTTTAACGCTTTAAACAGTTAAATAAGAGAGTCTATTGCTACGCAACAAAATGTCGTGGGATAAGATTCACTTACTTGAAGGTCTAGTAAAAATGTCTCCTTTTCCAAGACTTATGATTAAAAAAGTTTTACCTTCTTGGTGGTCTATTAAAGTTAATTCCAACAGTTTAAAATTAAATGAGGTAAATTACATCTTCAAATTATTTCATCTCTTATTTAGAAATAAGAAGTAAGTTTTTAAATATTTTGAAAATTAATTCTGTTTATCGTAATATACTTGAATCATTACAATCATTTTGAAGGTTAACAAGTTCGACAACAAAAAATGTACTTGTAAATAGAATAAAATTAAAATTTTTTTAAAAAATGCGTATGAATAAATCTTATTAAAATGCCAATTATTTCTTCCGTTTTGAAATTTAGGGGTGTCTCTTTTATTCACATGACTCCTCATCCAAGCTACAAAAAAGTTCTCAAAAAATTGTCGATTCTGTTGAAGAAGCTCTAGCTGGTATTAAAGACGGAGACAAACTTTTAGTTGGTGGTACGACTATGTTTTTAATTCAAAGTTATTGATAAAAATAAAGTTTTTCAGTCAGACTGCTTTTATGTCCTTTCATTTACTCTCAAAATAAATAAATAAATTTATAAGAAGTACTGTACAATTTTGGATGAATAAGAATTTTTCAATTCTAGGTTTTGGTTTATGTGGAATACCGGAAAAATTAATTGCTGGCATATTAAAGACTAATATCAAAGATTTAACTCTGGTTTCTAATAATCCTGGTACACAAGATTTTGGATTGGGATTACTTTTTAAGGAAAAAAGAGTTAAACGAATGATAGCATCTTATGTGGGAGAAAATGCAGAATTTGAGCGTCAATTTTTGCAAGGAGAAATTGAAGTTGAACTGACACCTCAAGGTACTCTAGCAGAACGTTTGAGAGCTGGAGGAGCAGGAATTCCTGCATTTTATACTCCAACTGCATATGGAACTTTAGTTCATGAAGGAGGAGCCCCAGTAAAATATGACAGTAACAAAAATATTGAAGTTGCCAGTAGTGGAAGACCCGAACAAATGTATAATAATAAAAATTATATATTAGAAGAGGCAATTACAGGGGATTTTGCTTTGGTAAAAGCTTGGAAAGCAGATCCTGCTGGAAATTTAGTATTCAGGTATAATATTTTCCTTAATAAATTATCATATTAATAAATATCATTAATATTATATTTCCACATAGAAATTTTTTTTTTTTTTTTTAAATTTAATAATGTCTTTTTAACAATATAGAATCAGCTAGATTTTATCCCACCATGTTGACTGCTGCCAGAGTAGGAGTAGTTGAAGTTGAAGAAATAGTTGGGTTAGGAGACATACCTCCAGATGAAGTACATTTACCAGGAATATATGTTGACAGGATATTATTAGGGAAAAATTATGAAAAACGAATAGAGGTAGACTGTATGAAATTAAAAATTAATTTTTAAATTATGAATACTGTTTACTTTAACCTAAAATTAATTTTTATTACTTTTTCTATTAGAAAAAAACTATTCTCAAACCACATTCTGCTCAAGTAAAACTCAGTCCCGCTCAAGTTCTTAGACAAAGAATAGTTAGAAGGGTAGCATTGGAATTTCAGGATGGCATGTATGGTATCCTTTTAAATGAAACATAAAAAAAATATTTTGCAATTATTCTCTTTAAAAAAAAAAAAAAAAAAAAAAATTGAAAATTTAGTAATATCCTTAATAAAAATAAAGTCAATCTTGGAATCGGAATTCCCGTTTTAGCCAGTAATTACATTCCTAAAGATATAACTGTCTACCTACAATCTGAAAATGGTATTTTAGGCTTGGGACCTTTTCCAACTGAACAAAACATTGATCCGGATCTTATAAACGCTGGTAAAGAAACTGTGACCATTGTACCAGGAGCATCATTTTTTAGTTCTCACGACAGTTTTGCAATGATTCGAGGGTAGCTTTCTTTTTTTTTGTTTTAACAGATTACGCTGTTTATGATCTTTTCAAATTACACGGTATTAATTAATTTTTTTTTTAGAGGTCACATTGACCTTACAATTTTAGGTGCCATGCAAGTGTCTCAATATGGTGACATTGCGAACTGGATGATACCCGTAAGTAAAGAGTTATTATACTGCATCGCTGCAACTATTTTATTTCTCTGACAAATAAAAAATTAAAAATATGTTTTGTATCTCTATTTTAGGGAAAATTAGTCAAAGGAATGGGTGGAGCCATGGATTTAGTAGCAGCCCCCAATACAAAGGTAATTGTAACAATGGAACATGCTGCTAAAGATGGTAGTCATAAAATTTTGCCAAAATGCGAGTTGCCATTAACCGGAAAGAATTGCGTAGATATGATAATTACAGAAAAAGTGAGTACGATAAAATTTTAATTTTTAAAAAATGATTTTTTAAAATTAAACCAACACAATATTTAATCACATTTTATGCGGTTTATATAATGTAAAAATAATTTTGATTGTGAAAAATTATTTAATTTTTTCACTTTAAAAGGTCATCAAGAGTATAAAATTTAAATTAAAATATCACGTGATTTAAAAAAAAAACTTGAATTCATTGAAAATGTCACTCTATTTAACATTATCTCAATCAATTCAATTTATTTTTTTAAATTGTTATGAGAATTAATAATTTTTTTAGTGTTTTCATTATTTTAACAAATCATTGAATTTTCTATTTTTTTTTTTTTTTTTTTTTAAATTAATGAATCGTTTAAATGGCTTATTTTTATACGATAAATTATTTTTAAAATTTCATTGACAAAAAACTTTTTTTTGAAAAACATGTATTTACATTTACGCTTATCAGATTTGATAACATTTTTTAAAAAAATTTTTTATTTATTAATCATAAATATTATTGTGTAAAGTTTTTAATGTTGAACTACTTACATATAAAAGCTTTAGGAAAACTTAAGGAGTTTAGATTTCTGATTTTTTTTTTCAGCTTTTTCGTATCGTAATTGAATAATAGGATATTTAATTGACTAAACTAATTTTTTTTTTTTTTTTTAGTGCGTATTTGAAGTTGACAAGGATAATGGTTTATTATTAACTGAAATTGCCGATGGTGTGGAAATGGCTGAAATTATCACGTCTACTGGTTGCGAATTTAGAATTGCCGAAAATGTAAAACCAATGAGGCAAATTTCTGTTGATGAGTAAATAAAATTCATATATATTATTTACATTGTTATTATTTTTATAGTTTATAAAAAGGTATAAGGGATCATGAATTGTCAATCAAATCATTCAAATGTTTTATTTTTTATTTTTATTTTTCTTAAAAACGGATTTTTTTTTTTTTAAAGTAAATTATATCTTTATAATGATTTAATTATTACAGTCATTTTATACTATTATACATACATATATATATATATATATATATATATATATTTGTTTTTTGAAGTTTTTAATTACAAAATCAAAAATGTTTTCAAATTTTCTTTTTTTTTTTTCTTTTAGATAATTATAAATAATAAATTGTCAAAGTTAAACAAACACACACACACACACGAACGCACATATTTTGTGCTTAAATGTGTATAATTAATTACTTTTTAATTTTATTTTATTAATCCGTAAAAAAAAAAAAAAAAAAAAGTCACGGTAATAAATCATAATTATTATAGCATAATTATACATGTATTTTTTTTTTTTTTTTAATATGATACGACAGTCTTAAAAACTTTTTTTTCAGTTACGTAAAAACATGTTTTCACCGAAATGTCATCCTCTCTCAGTAATTTTTTCGATGGTGTTTTACTAGCGTTCCATACATGATCCATACATTTTCTTCAAATCCTGAAAATATTTTTCCAAATCAAAAAAAAAGCAAAAAAAAAAAAACAAAAAACAAAAATTAAAACGTTTAAGGTATACTATATCATTATTATAATTTTTTTACTATAATTAATTTTTGATATGATTTATTAATATGATTTTTTATTGTATACGAACGTTTTTATTAATAAAAGGACCCGTGAATGCGTAGAAAATATTTAAACTCACTAACACAGTCAATCAGCCTGCATTTGCAGTAAGTATAATTTTAACGTTACTATTTTTATATACATATAATATTATAATAGTTTAATTTTTTTTTTTTTTTAATTAACATCTTAAAAAAAAAGGAAATATTTTATGTGTTATGCTACGATATACTCACTTTAGTAAATAATTGAATTTTATTCCGTGCTTTGGTTTCCAAATATGAAAAAGTCCATAAATAATTGGATTTATTAAACTGTTTGACATCCCAAAGCAGAAAATACCATTTCGTAAATCTTTTGCTAGCTAAAATAAAAACAAACGTAGAGACAATAAAAATGTTATAAAAAGGTTTTTATCCTTTTTTTTTTTGTGTCACTCATTGGTACACCATCAAAAATTTTTTTCTAATTTTGATTTATTTCATTTAAAATTTACTATTTTTGCAGAAACTTTAAATACTTTTTGTAGGATTATATGAATTCTGTTATTTTTGACGTGTCGGTGTCACTAATTGGACCAAAAAATAAGAGTTACGTCAACACAATTATAAAGGATTTCAAAAAAATTTTTTTTTTGGCATTTACAAAAAAATAACGCCACAGTCGGAGGAAATAATTGATTTTTATGGACGCTAATTTGTGATTTAAAAAAAAAAAGCAGAGTCAACAATGCCTCTTATATTGTTTTATCGCCTCTTTTTAGTGTGATTAAAACCCTATGAAGCTTTCGTAAACATTAGTTTATAAATGCGTACAAAATATTTTTAAGAGGCGTTAAAAAGATACTTATTTCTACCTGTTCGTCAGGTTCGTAAAACATGAAAACTAACATCATGGAGTAATAAGGTGCCCAGCAGATGATAAAAGTGATAACAATCACAACGGAAATTCTCATTGATTTTGCTTTTGCCTTGTTTATGAGTCTCCTTCTATTGTAATTGGGTCTAAAAAGTTTACCGGAAGAATCTAATTCGGCTTGAAATACTTTTTCATTTTCTGTAAAAATTAAAAAAAAAATTACTTTTAAACGTTTTTTAGATATTTCCAATAAAAATTAAAAAAAAAATGAGTACGCACGTGCTAAAGTGATAAATGTTGAAGCATATGACCAAACAATTATACCAAGTGGAAGGATAAACATTAAAAATAAAGTTGAAACTGTGTAAAGTTGTTCTTGCCAAGGTTCTGTGTAAAATCCGTATGTTACGCATTGGTAAAAATCTTCATAAAATGGTCCTTTGCCCACTCGAAATATGAGGACCTGTCAAAATTATATTTTCAATTTTTTTTTTTTTTTTAATGACAAAATTTGAAATTAATATGGTATACGATACAAGTTATCGTTCACATGACGTTTTTTTAAAAATTTAAAAAAACGAATTTTTTTTTTATAAGCAAATTTTTATCAACTGACAGACGATTCACGTATAATTTTTTTTTTTTAAAGATTGTAATGTTACATGCTGGAAAACGTTGTACCGGATACAAAAAAAACCAAAAAAATGATAATTTTTCAACTTACCTGAGGACTGCTGAAAAGAAAGCTTAATATCCAAACCGACATTATGGACCTGTTGCATCTGCGTTTCGGATGAAGAGTTTTCATAGGATATTTCACAGCCAAAAACCTGTCCCAACTAATTAAAACAAGTACAAAAGTTGATAAATATAAACTAAACACTTGTGCAAACTTAAAAGTTTTGCACGTGAAATTATCGGCTTTCCAAGACACCGAAAAACTCCAGGCGGCTTCTCCCAACAAGCACGTGAACGTGACCAAAAGATCCGCAATGCTTAAGTGAAATAATAAATTATAAACGGAACTAGAATACTGTCGAGTGTTGGATTTATGTCTTTGAATTAAACTATAAACGGTCATCATGTTTCCAAAAAGGGAAACAACAAACATAACAATTAAAACTACGGCTTGAATCGTGTTATGTAAATGACGTTGGGGCGCGTGATCCAAACACCGAATGGGATACCCAGTCGTCATGTTGCTGTGATCATTTAATAGTAACCACAAAGATTTATTTACTATTTTTAATCTTTCGCATTCTTCGCTGGGCAAAATTGTCCATTTTGAATAATTTCGTGTGATTCGATTGAGAAGATCTTGAAAGTCATGTTGAAAATCGATGGCAGAAGAATTTATTTCGTTTTCTAATAATTTTTCCTCGATCATTCTTTTATAGTTTTTATATTTTTCTTAGTAAAATGAAATCTGGTTATTATATCGTGTCTCGCAGCGAAATCCTACAATAATAAGAGTATATATTATTATTCTAGTATAACTACTAAGTGCAAGCTAAGATGCAATGTCGAATTTTACAGAACAATTAAATTTACTTTTTTGTAAACATGTACTTTTTCCATTTAAAATAAAAAATTAGGGGAGGGGGGAGGAAGAGAACAAACTGTCTCATGTTATAAGAACGATTTAGTAAATAATTAAATGAATTTTAAATAAAAATAGATGAAAAAATAGTTTTGCGCCATTTTTTACTCAAGTTCAAATACAGAATATCTATTATATTTTGTCCAGGGTCATTTTACCTTTAATTAGATTAATTTTTTCTCCCCTGTTGAACTGCCGTGACGATGTTGACTGAATCTCGCCAAAAAAAAAAAACAAAAAAATTCTTATTATTATTATTACAGAAAATTGAAAAAAAAAAAAAAAAAAAAATTATATAAAAAAATCTTTTAACCTTCTTCATAATCAAAGAAGCTTTTTAAAAAAAATAAATAAATAAATAAATAATAATAAAAGAAACTAATAAAATATTTAGTAATAATATGGAAAAAAAATTTTTTTAAGTAAATAAGTGTTTCTATAAATTTAAAAACTTGTATAATAATTTTTATTTTAATAACTACCGTTTAGAAAAATTTAAAAGTAATTATTTTCACGTTAGAAATTAATTTTTTATTTTTTTTTTCAATTTATGTAAAATACATCATAACATTTTAATAAAAAATTAAACACAGACTGTTTTAAATGAATGAATGAAAAAAATACACATTGTTTTTTTTTTTTTTTTTTTTAATTTTTTACTTTTTACTGTAATATTAATTGATTTATTTTATGTTATGTATACATATCTATGTATATATATATATACATAATTAAAAAATAGCATCAAGATTTTGCACATATTCACTCTGTCACTTGGTTGTTGTAACTAACAGTGAAAAACCATCGAAGAAGGGGAAAACAAAAGGATGAACACAGTTAAACACACACACGCACACACATACACATAACTCATCTCAATGTGGATCCAACAGGTGAAAATCTATGAAACGGTTTTTGATTTTTGAAAAAATATTAAATTACTTATTGATAAATAAATCAACAGCTTAATAATCGGTTTTTTTTTTTTATTTTTTTTATTCTGTTAAAAATAAAAAATAAGTCACTTGAAATTATATTTTAATTGTTTATAATTTAATTCATTATTTTAAAATTGAATTTTTTATTTGTAATTTTAGGTGAAATCTAAATATACAAAAAAAATTATCATCTGAAATTGAGTTTTTAAAAAAATCATATTTTTCTTCAACGAATTAACGCTGACAGGATTGTGCCGGACGTCATCCTCAGGTATAACTTCGAAAAATGGTGTAAAGTAATTGAAGTATCCGGAAATAAAAACACCAGACAGCCGAAGAAGCGGACAAATGGCTGATATACAGAAAGTTGAAAATAGAAATAACGAAGATGTGGAAAATAAAAAAAAAAAAAAAACAATTTTGGTCATCGTGGGACCACCACTGGGAGCCATGCCACCAACCGATATTCGAGGACTTATTTCTAAGGAGTCGGGTAGGGACACGGAATAAATGAAACTTATCGTCTTATTCCAAAGTGATAATAATAATAACAATAAAAATTTCCGTTTTAAAGTCAGGCAAAAAGACAAAACTTTGAGCGGTGGAAGTTTAAACAGTCTAAGGTACATTATCATTATCATTATCATTTGTATGAACTAATGAAAATGATAATTTTTTTACTACGTTCAAATCATTTTAATCAATCATGTTTTTTTTTCTTAAATTTAATCGTGAATTTACATACCCAATCATACTGATTACAATCAAAATAAAAAAAAAATTCAATGGTTTCTCAGGTTTTTTTAGTTCCAAAATTTAATTGAACTCGTTAGGATTTTTTAAGTGTCGACATCTATCGAAATTTATTATTATTACTATTTTAAAAATAAATAATCCAATAGATGTCTCTCAAAACGCATACCACGAAAAGTAAACTAGTGACATCTGGTTAGAATTAAAAGCGTACAATCAATCAGTACGACGACGACGACAACAACAACAATTGTATAAAATTGCATTTAAAAAAAAGGCGTTTTAACATTTCTATTCTTTACAGAAAAAAAAAAAAAAAAAAATTTACAATCCGATATACATATTGTTTTAACAATACGTAATGATTTTCGTTCGATGAGCTCTTTTCTCAAAAATACAAAAGGGGAATTTAAAAAATTCACATTTTTTACCTTTCGCCATTTCTCTTTTTCTTACCGAAATTTTTTTTTTTTTTTTTTTTAAATACTTTTTCTAATGTAATGCAGGGAGAATGAAACGATTGGGGTGACATGTACAGTTTTTTAGGTGTAAAAACTTGTTTAATTGGTTTGTCATAATTGTATTGTGTAAAAATTTATTTATTTTTTTTTACGAGATCCAATAATAAATAAAATAAAAATAATGATAGAGAAAGAAAAAGTCATCCGGTCACGCGAATGACAAAAAAAAAAAAAAACTAAGCGTCGCAGAGAATCAAATATCTGTTTAATGAACGATAGAAAAAGATAGATAGATAGATATAAAAAGAGATGGAGGAAAAAAAAAAAAAAAAAAAGAGGATTTTGTGGTTGCCGCCCTGATGAAGGCCTCACGCATTGGCAGTTTTTACGGTCTGACCCGTTTCCTCCCCCTGTTGCCTTTTCCCACTTATTTTTCCTATTTATTTCGAAGCTTTGAAAATAATAAAAACTAAACTGATTACCTCCGTATAGATTTAATGCTTCCAAGTGATAAAATTCTTTTATTTTTAATCTCCGTCGTCTCTTCTTTTTTTTTCGACTATAGTCTTTTGTAATCATGCGAATTGTATATATTTTATTACTTTCGATAATTATTATTATTATTATTATTATTATTATAATGAAGTCAACGTTGAGTGACTCTCAATTTAAATGATATATACATTTAATTATTTTATATATATATCTAATATTTTTTTTTTTTTTTTATGTTTTAATGTGTCATTAAAAAAAAAGTAGTATTCCAATTAGTTTTTCAAACAATTAAATGAACGGTTAGTTTATTGTTATTTTGAAACGTTTAAAGCGCTCTTGAGACTCGGATAAAAATAACATTTTAAAAACAAACGAAAAACAAACCACGATTAATTTCAAGTGTGAAAAATTCCATTTTCAACCCCTACAGATTAATATTTTTTTTTTTTTCCCCCGACCGTGTGCAGCAGTTAAAAGATTTCTTCGAAAAGTGATCGTTTTTTTTTTTTTTTTTTTTTTTTCCATAGTGAACAGCGGGGCGGAATACATTAACATAACATGACGACAGTATGTTATGAGAAACATCCCCCCATAGCCTTTTGTCCCTTAGCGACCGCACCCTCGCCCTCTTCCTTTCACTTTTTATGTTAGTTCTAATAAACAAGGGGAGAGCTACTCAACGACCTCAACTTTTTTTTTTTTTTTTTTTACTTGTTAACTCACTTAATAATACTTTAACTTGTATCTGTTTAATAGAAGCTAAAGGAAGAAAATGGGGTAGAAAAAAAAAAAAAATCTAAAATTCTTTTCTTTTTTTTTTTTTTATTTGCATTATAAAAGGCTAGTTAGATGAGTAATAATAAAATCGCCTTAAAAATTGGTTTGTTTGGAATAATAATAATAATAATACAATTGATTAATAAATACATTCTCTTGTTTTTTTAAAAATAAAGTAAAAAAAAGAAATTTTCTAATAAAATTTAGTAGTTTGAATAATGTTTAATTTGATGATTATATCGGTTCAAATGAGTCCTGGACCATAAAGGCCACAAAGTAAAAATAGTTTAAACAAAAGAAAAACTTAAAATCGGGATGGGTAAACAGGTTTTTCTCTCTCTCTCTCTCGTTACGCAGAATAACCGCAAATTACCAAAACGAATCGATGCGGTTTTCAATGGCAGAAAATGGTGAAGAAGCCCCTTAGGGTGGCTGACTGGCTGACTGGATGGTTGGATGGCGTAAAAAGAGTAAAAACTTATCAACAAAAATATGGTGACGACAAAAATGGGAAAAAATTATTTGGAAACACACAAGGGATTTTCTCTCTCTCTCATTTGTAATTAGGTTTTTGTAAATAAATAAATATAACCATTTAAATAATAAATTTATAATATTTATTATATAAATAATAACTTATTTTAATATTTTTTAAGTTTTAATTTTAATGAATTTCAATTAGTTTTGTTCTACACATATATGTGATTGCATTTAAATCTTTGACATTCAACAAAAAAATTTTAAACGTTAAATTAAAGTTTTTTTTTTTTTTTTTATTGGCAAGACTGTTAAAAGCCGAAAGACAAAAAAAAAAAAAAAAAAAAAAACAAATTTTTATCTTAATTATATAAGAAAATAATTTTTTTAGTAGTTAATGCTTAGCTATGCAATACTTATTTTCAAATTTATTATAATAAATTATAAAATGATCGTATTTTGCGATAAGTTTTTTATATGTACATAAAATTTTCTTAAATTTTTCAAAAAATGAAAAAAAAAAAAAAAAAAAAAAACAAATTTTTTAAAATTTAAAATGGAAGAGCTTTATATTGAAAATAATCGATATAATACGTCAACTTTTAAAAATCGTCCTATTCATTGTATTTTATGAGTTAAGCTGATTATGAGAAAATTAAAATAAAAAAAAAAGCAATAATAATAATAATAATAATAATAATAATAATGATAATGATAATGATAATAATAATAATTCAAAACCGTTTTCTTTTTTATAACTCCAAAAATAAAATAATTAAATAATTAGAAATATTATCGGATTAAAACCTTTTTGTGGTAGTTTTGTTTACAGTTACATTTTCGGTAAAATTATATATAAAAAAAAGGTTTATTAAAAAATTATTAT